AAAAAAAAAAAAAAAAAAAAAGTACTGGCCTGGCTATCAGAAAAGGCCCGGCCCCAACCATGGCCAATCAAATACAGCAGTTATGACACTTTTGATGTAGCCACATCCCACAGCCTCAGCAGCAGTAACCCAGCTTTTACTACCAAGTGGTGTGAGTGACAGGCATCCTTGATGGTGAGATACGTGGATGGGTTGAGGTGAGGGGAAAGACTTGGGGTGCAGTGAGGGTCCAAGAGGAACATGTGCTCAGAGAGATGAGAGTGGATGCTGTAGGCAGTATTGCTTAAGAATCAAGTGTCATCGTACAGGAATAGTGAGGCTTGCATGAGATGACGCAGACATGTAATGAAGCCTTTGTGAAATATCCAGCTCCCTGTTGACTTCAGGAGGCGCGTCACTGTTATATAAACGATGTGTGGACCATTTTGCCCTGGGGTGCCCAGGGAAGTGGGGAGAAAAGGGAGAAGAGCCAGATACCCGTGTGTGGCTGCTCTGGCCTCCTGACCACATGGAAGGGCACTGGGCAGCCTGGGGGGCAGAGACAGGCTTGATATATAGATGAGCCTCAGATCTGTCAACTCTGTCCAATATCCCATGACTGCGTGTCGATAGGGCCACCAGAGGCCACCAATATAACTCTGATCCGGAGCCACACACCAGCTTTGAGTGCAGAAATGGTTGATTTCGGGTACGAGTGATGGCCTCCCAGCATGGAGGGGCAGAAGTTGAGCGAAGAATTCTTTAGCTATGAGTTACAAACCCTGGTAGGGTGCCCCCTCCTCTCCCACGCACTGAGGACGCAGCCCCATGCCCATCCTTCTGTTCACTCACCCTCACAGGCCCTCAGCCTCTCCTGACCACCTTCCCACCTGGATTTCCTGCTCCCCCACAGTGGAGCCCTCATTCCCTCACCATCCCTCACATTGAGTGCCCCTCCCTTCCTGAGACCCTTCTCCTATCAGATTCCTGGGCCCCTTCCCTCAGTTCTGCCCCCAAGAAGCCCCCATTCCTTCTCTGACTCCTCCAGAAGCTGGCCCCCCCTTCTGCCCTTTTTCACTGCCCTTCGTCTTGAGCTTTTGTCCCCTCTTGCCCTGACCATCACAGAGTCCTTCTTTCCTCACTGAAGCCCCATTCATTCCTTGGGCCATTCCCCAAACACTCATTTGGAGCCTACAGAGCCTGGCCCCGGTCATAGAAGTGAATCTTGAGGAGTCCCTGGAGGAGGCAGGTGGGGGGGGACCGATTTCAATCTAGTGTCTCATTGCTACACCTGGATGAAAGTCAGGAGCTAGGAGGGTCCAGAGCAAGTTCCTCCGAGTTGTGTTTTTAGAGATCACATCTGATCTCTAGGCAGCGGGTGGAGAGTGGCTAAGGGTGCGGGCATTCCAGGCAGAGGGGCCAGCGTGTTCACAGATGCGGAGCTGGGAGGAGGTAGAGACTGTTTGCTCAGGTAATGGGGTGCAGCTAGGAGTTATAGATGGAGAAATGGTTTCTAAGAGGAGTTCTGGGGAGTCCTAGGGTTTTAATTGGGGCAGCTGTGCTCATATCTATTTTATACGTGGAGGATCTTTTCTATTGAAAGGATTGTGGTGCTTATGATCAGCCCAGCGCCCCTCAGGACAGAGTAGGGACAGCTGCCTGGGGCCAAGGGAGCGTCCAGGGGGGATGCTGCTGCTGATGTGGGCAGAGGTCAGATGGCGGAATGTTGTGTTCTCGCCAGGCTGGGGAGTCTGCACTTGACCTGACTTGAGCTATGGGCAATGAGGAGACTCTGAGAGGCCTTACTCAGGGGAGCAGCATGTCCAGCTGCTGGATAGGGTGGGGGGAGGTGGGAGGCAAACAGGACAGTTCAGAATCTATTTGGGCCCAGGTGAGAAACAGTAAAGGTCTAAACTAAGCTCCCAGTTGAGTTAAAGAATGCTGGATCTTCCCAGGGGTCATGTCCTGAGATGATTGGGCACCAGGAATAGACACATCTCCTGGGAGAGTGTGAGGCCTGAGAAGGGCCCTTGCCTATCCCTCACTCCACACCCCCACACCCCAATTAACTCAGGTCTCTTACTGAATCTAGTTCCTCCAAGGCCAGATTCCACCCCAATACCAAGGTCACCCCTCCCCTAGGTCATGGTGAGTTCCTCTCCACCCCTCCTTGACCTTCACCCACCCCACCCTGAGTCCCTACACTCTATCAAACTCTCAACGAGCTCCATTCATATACCCACCTCCCTGAGCCTCTGTCTCACTCACCACACCCTTAACCTTATATTCTGGGGGGACCCTCATCTTTTCACTGGGCTCCCATTCAGAAATAAGACAGGCTCTGCCCTCCAAAGCTAGTGGGGGGAGAAAAAGACATTTTAGAAGATATTAACAGCACATGGTGATGTCTACCACAGTGGACTTAAGTACTGGGGCCGTGGGAACACAGAGAAATACTCCACCCAGACTCTGCAGGGAGACTAGATCAAGAGAGACTGCCTGGGGGAGGTGACTTTAGTTCTGAGGCTTGAAGGAATTAATCAGGCTCAGGAGGAGCCACAGAGTGTCCCAGGCAGAAGGACCAACTGGCACAAAGGCAAGAGGTGTGAAGTAGTGTGACATGTCCAGAGAAACAAAAACAGTTTCATATTGCCTAGGGGGTAGTGTTGAGAGATGAGGCAGGTGGGATCAGCTCCTGGAAGCTTTTTAGGAGAGGTGGAGGAGCCGAGTCTTCCTTCTGCAGGCATAGGGAGCTACTGAGGGATTCTAGGCAGGGGTGTTTTAGAAAGGTGGGTAACTGGGAGAGGAGAAGCCCCCTGAGGAGGAAGGGCTGGGGCCAGCATCCATTCTTCCAGGAGGCAGGGGCGCTGAGCCACCCTGGGGCAAGGCCTGATTGTAGCGACATCAACCTGAAGGGCTTTAGGCAAGGATGGAGGTGGAGAAGCAGCAGAGAAATGGAGGCCGGCCCAGCCTTGCCTTCCTGGCTCAGTGAAAAGGGCTCCACTGAGAGGGCCCAGGAGCTGAGTGAGAAGGGGGGGTGGGGGGGGAGAGCAGGGCCGTGTAGGAGGGGCTGTGGGGAAGGTGGGAAGAAGGCGCCACCTCCTCCCTGAGCCGCTCCCTGCACTGAGCCGGCCCAGCCTCCTAGGCCAGGCTACAGCCCTGCAGGGCTGCTCCCCTGCGTGCCCACAGCCCCGGCCCCCATCATAGCCTCGGGAGCTGGAGGGAGCCTTTCAGACTGAGTCTGACCGTGCCCTTCCGTGGTCCTTTCCTCGCCAATAGAATAAAGCCCTATTTTCAATTCCGTGAACATGTTCAGTGCCTCAGAGCCTTCGCACAGGCCGTTCCTCCTGCCTGGCACCCCCTCGTCACCCAGCCAGCTGGGTAAGGG